TCCTTGGAAGCCATATGAGCTAGGTCAGCTTCTTCTGCTTGTTCGAGCAGGCTGGCATAGGTGAGTGAGTGAACTTGTTGGCGTCCTTATGTCCTTTCTTTGTCTCTGTAAGCATCAGGGTAGTGACCTGGGGGGCGTGCTCAGATAGGAGTGCCCCGTGCCGGTGGCATAGAGACCTTCTGCTAACGGATGCGCTGGCTCTTTCCTCCTCTCTAAACGGCTGCCTTTCATCAGGGAAAATTCCCTCCTTTATTATGGTCTTCCGATAAAATGTTTAAACATTAACTTTCCAAGTATGTCTCATATTTTAGGGAACCTTGTCAACAGTGTGTGTGTGTTGGACCACAAAATACATTTGTCTGCCTAATGTTAATCAGCTTTTTGTGCGAAAGTTGAAAGCAAAATAATGTTAGTTCCGGAGCTAAGCACTGTGATCTGTGGTAATATTATCCTGGTCATTCTGCTATTACTACTATAATATTACTCTAATATTACTGTCCTGTGAATTTGAGTGTGTTTTGTACCATTTTTATTTCAAGTGTCTATTTTCTGTTTTTTTTTTTTTTAGATTTTAAGTTGTATCAGTGCAGTAGCTGAACATGCCTGGTGGTAGAAGGAAAATGGTACAATTTTAATTGAATTAGCTCCTCCCCAACTCTCAGTAACAGTCCAAGTATAAACAAGTTATGGGGAAACTCGCTGTGCCCACTGTAGTGTTGTGAGTATCTGTAGCTGAAGCAGAACTCGCCAGCCAGACTGCAGCATCTCATTATGCCTGGAGACAAAAAGATCCCTCTCTTCGGGGCCTAGCGTAGCGCACTGTGGGTTTCCCCTGCGCGCTGGAGGAGATGAATGAGACCTTATTCGGAACGCAGTGCCTGCACGTTCAGCAGTGCCGAGCCACAGGTCGCTCCCACCCTTTAATCTGTCTCTGCATGGTTTTTGCATTTCACAACCACGCCGCCCCTATGATATCATCGCAGGCTGGGAGGCGGAGTCAGAGAAGCGAGGACCCGTGTGCGTTGACTGCTTGCCATGTTATGTGTGCGGTGTGTTTGTCTGTGTGGGTTCCTCCCGTTTCTCAGTTGGTGATAGGGGTGTTTAATCACACTGTTGGCTGCCGGGTCACGCTTGTGCCAGTTTCTCGCTGTTGATTATTCACATGGAAATTCACCACATGCTGCAGTGTGCTATAAGTGGTGTCTTGAGTATGGAAGGGTTAGGTCAGAGAAGGTCTACAAGGCTCACTGTTATGAAATAAATGTAGTAATGCTGCTTAATACGTTCCTTATGTTACTGAGAGTGTGAGGTGGGTGGGGTGGTCTGTGCAGCGGGAAGTATGTGGAAAATGTCTCCAAAGACCTACCCCATGAGTCTAGGAGGTGACCGTCCTGTCACCACTCTCTGTGCCATGTGACTCCGGGCCAAGTGAATATGAGCTCCCTCCAGCACATGAGCCAATGGTAAACGTCATCATGGCCACCGTAGCAATGACAGATCTAGCTGGAACGGGTTTTCACGCGCGGGGCTCAGTCGCGTCTCTCTCTTCCATAGAACTTGCATATTAGTCGCTCGCTGACTTGTCATAAATCGAAGCTGTCCATTTATGGGAAGGCTGGTGGTGATATCCGGTGAGAGAGGAGGGGTAGACGAGCGAGTCACTTTCGACTGTATGCGTCTCTCAGAAGCTGCATCTTTACACGGGAATCTAAATCCAGCTGTTTCTTATAAATACTGAAATTTAAGCCAATTTCTGGAGCATGGCTGCTTGTATTGCAGTGACGACGACTGCATTTCTGTTCCTTTAGCCTTAGCTAGTTGAACATATCTTAGGACCTTTTTTCTTGGGGGGGGGGGGGATTGGTCTGAATAGGGTGTACTGATTTGAAATCTCTACTCTTAGAATGTCATTAAAATTAATTTTAATCAATGCATTGCATTTCACTCACTTTTGCTTTAGATCATATCATTTTAAAAGGAATTGAGTTTTAACATTATTTAATTGATGTATATAACTATATTTGCCAAAAACGTGAAACAGGAAGCATTTTAAAGTGTGATCTTGCCATGTTGTATTGTGACTTCCTATAGTAAGCAGTCCCATGCATTAAAAACCTGAAAGTTGTTGAGCAGACCATCTCCCTAAAGTGATCACCTTAGGTTGCCTTTGTGTATTAGCAGGAAATACGTGTGCAAGTGGTGTAACCTTTATTATTATACTGTTAAGTCGGATGAAAGTGCTTTAATAAAGCAGAAGCCATTATTTTATGATTCACTGACAAGGTGGTGCAGTGAACACTGGGAGATTTTTAGCTGGTTCTTGGCAGTTTTCCACTGGCACCAAGAACTGAGCCGTACCGCCAACTGATGGATTTCCATTGCAAGTTATCGGAGCCGTACCGTACCCATGCTGATCTAGCCCTGCTTACTAGCACATCGCGATTTATTTCATTGTGCATTCTCAGTAACTCAGAACATGAAAATTTCCAATCTCCCACTTAAAGTACTGCAGAGCAGCTGAACTGAATGGATTTGTAATGCAAATTTAAGCACATTTGCAAATTCCTCTAGCATTACATGCTAACATAAGATGGCGATTCTCTCAGACTTGCTACCGGTAATTAGCACATACTACATCATACTGTACACCATGTGAACAGTAAATAAGCACCTCACTATCGCTCTCCAAACCCGGCAACACCTTTACCGAGCCGACCCTTCTGCAGTGGAAACCCAAATCGAGCTGGAACCGTGCTGTAACTAGTCTCACCTCACGGTATGGCTCGGGTACGGCCTGGTTCCTGTATGCCAGTGGAAAAGCGCCAAAAGTGAAGCACAGGTTTAAGCCTTTGACGGTACCTCATGCTGACGGAAAAGGGTTTGCCTCTCAAACAGCTTTTCTCGAACCCGCCTCTGGTAGCACCAGCATGGCCTTTTGAAGGTGTTTCATTCCTCCATGCGTGTCCATCAGTGGCAGTCTGACCTTCCTGTCTTTAGTCATCCCTCCCTTCTCTTTGCTGCAACATCCTCTTTTCAGATGAGCAGCTGCCATCTTAAGGTATAAAAGTGTTTGTGAATCAGTCGTTCAAACAGGGTACCTGAATTTCCATGTAAAAAAAACTAGACTGCACACTCTAGAAACTTAGAATGTGTAACACACTAGAATGGCATATTCTAACACCGGTTCAGTGACTTATGTAGCCATTCCTGAGTGTTTTTTGACAGTAGACTACATCATGGTTTTTTTGTTGTTGTGTATATAGTGCTTATTTTGATTTTTTTTCCATTTTTTAAAAATAAGCATTTTGGCATTGTTTGGTCCAAAGGTTTCTAATGTCAAGGAACTGACATCTGTGATGTTTAGTCGTATGACCTTTTTATTCAACCTTTTTAGTACTTGAGTTGTTAAATATTTGGCTGCTTTCATTTATGCAAACCACTGGTAAAGAAATAGATGTATCTTGTTCCTGTTCGTGATCGAGCTTCAGAAAGTGCTGCTTTTCAGAGAACTGATCTGTTCCGTATTCGTTCTCGCTCCTGTTTGGTTATGGTTGCATCTCTGGGACTCAAATGGGCTGTATCAGCATTAAAACGACATTGAGACCCGCGTAGTGAAATATCCTTGGACACGTGCGAGCAATCTCTCACCAGGAACTAAAAGAATCTGTGGTGTTCTGATCCGTTCCTCTGATAAAGGTTATCGGAGATTGCAGTCGCGTTGGTTCTCGTTAAGGGGAGTCTCTGCTTTGCCTGTATGGAGAGGAAGCTCTCGGTGACCGTCTGCTGCCCGTGGAGCTCGGGGACAGATGGATACTGCAGTCTCCCATGCCTTTGGAGTGTCCGCAATGGCAGGTGCTGCCTCTGAAACCGCAGATAGAACAGAGAACCGAACGTTCGGCCTGTTTTCTTTTTACCAAGGGTATGTGCCAGGAGATAGCTCCAGGAATGAGGGGTGCTGAGATGTTGCGACTGGTGCCAACGTTTGCCTGGAGGTTCCTTTCTGGTGACCTTGACTTTGGACCTGTTCTCCAAGTCTCTTCTGCTGAGGTGGTTGTTCTGATACTAGCTGGACAGCCGTTACCTTGTGCTGACATCCATGCGGAGGAGGTCGTGACGTCAGTCCTGATGTGGGAGATGTTTGAGGGTGGGGTGGGTCTGCTGTCTTAGGCCTCAGCAAGGATAGGGGGCGCTGTCTTTGGGGAGTTTTGTTGAAAAGGGGGGGGGGGGGCGATAGCTATAGTGTAATCGATAAGTGTGGCACAGTTGCATTCCCCCCATGAAAAGGAGCTGCGATGCGACTCTTGACTCGATCCAAGCCCTTAAAGGTCTCCGGGTAGCTCGACGGCGAGCAGCATGTTGCGGTATGCTGCTCTGCGGCTCAGGGCTGTGTGGGGGTCGACGGAGGGGAGTGGCTGATCGGCTCGCATTAGCGCTAATACCGCCGGGGCTCAGGGCCTCGGCAATTCACAGCTGCTTGGGTCACATGACGGGGGAGAGGGGCAGGCTGCCTGTGAAATGGTGTCCCCGTGTCTCCGTCGCTCAGGGCTGGTTAGAATGTAGCAGGAGCTGACCGTACTGCCTAGCTGCTTAATGCTATTTGGTTATTAGCAACATGCTAACTTTTCTCCTGTTGTATTGATTGACTTGAGGCTTTCCTGTCCTCAAGCCATTTGCCTGAAACCCTTTTTTTTTTCTTTTACAAACAGAGGAGAGCTCTGAGTAATTATATTCCCTATGTGTGTTGCATTTGGTTCCTATATAGGCATTCAATGAATTTTATCGAGTTTAAAATTTAGGTGTATAAAGGTAATACATTTGTCATTGCATAATTTTTATTAGCAAACTGACTTTTGGCCTCACCAGCCACCATACTTCCCTTCCCCCCCAGATCTGCCGTCCTTTAGATCTAACTACTCTGCAACTGGCCATCGCTCGGCGTTCCCAGGTTGTGGTTCTGACTGGAATCCCATTAAACTCCGCCCCTCCCTCCCCCCTCTCAGGTTGAGTCTTTCATACTGGATCAGGAGGACCTTGACAACCCCATGCTGAAGACGGCCTCCGAGCTCCTGCTGTCCAGCGCAGCCGACGGCGCCGACCTGCGCACCGTCGACCCCGAGACGCAGGCCAGGCTGGAGGCCCTGCTGGAGGCCGCCGGTACGTTTCTGCACGAAAGACAAGAACGGTGAACTAGTGTCACAGCACATGTCATATGGTTGTTTTCTTGCTGTACTAGTTAAGGAATTGTCTCCCAGGCTGACATTATACAGCTCAATGGACAGATTGTCAAAGACCATTTAAATTCCCTCTTGACCCGAGTCTACCTAGAGAAATGTGTAACGCATGCCGATTCTTTGACACTGTGTTGAGTTACTTCTGTCACGTTTGTCCTGCTGTGAGCCTTAACTTAACTGTTGCTTGCCGTTAACGTGTGACATTTACCGCTTTAGAATGCGTTTGTCTTAACATTTACCTGTGTGTTATGTCAAAGCTTCGAGTCTGTGGGTAGTTTGCCGTAACGTTCTCCCGAAGTTCCATTCGGTTGTTCATACCTTCCTCCCAGCCTCAGTGAAGTTTGTGTCCATGAATAGACAAAGTTCTTTAAACCCCAAGGCATGTTACATAGCCAAAGAGCTGTGGCCCTTTCTTGATGAGAGAAGAATGTGACCTTTAATGGCACAGTAGCTTGTTTCTCTTCTGATTATACTCGTATTCAGTGTGAGGCTATATGTGGTGTTAATCAGCATTTTTCTGACCATGTTATCATAAGCTGAGGCACTCCTGTTTCCTGTTGATCTTTGTTTAATTTGTATTGAGAAGATGGTCCCATTGTGTGTATGAATTCCCAGTGTTGTCAAAGTCTGTCTGGCAGTGTAGCATATACTGTCCTAGATATGGTGCTGAGTTTCTGGAATTTTTAATGCAGTGCTTGGCGTTTAGTGAAGATTAGGGCTGCAGGATATCACATCGCGATTGTACAGCGCATGTGCAATAATCACCAGGGCTTCAGATGACGGACGTAAACATCTGTCCAGACGCCGGCTTTTTGGTACTATATGGACGTTTACTTAAGCCTACAATTTAGTAAGCAGATTAGCAGTGCACCTTAAATATTAATGAGATTCATTCTGTGATGTCCAAAGTCTTGTATTCCGTATACTTCTGCCAAATTCTAGTTTAATAAACCTTTCGGCCATTAAACTGCAAAAAGAACCGCCTCACAACCAGCCTTTTCTTACCTTGTTTACCCACAATATCTCCCCTTTTTAAGGATGTTGTGGCTGCTGGGCTGCCCCTTTCTTTGCCAGCACTTCGGTGCTTCTCGCCTCCATGATTTACCAAAACGGTAGCATGTGTCTCGCTCCGCTAACTGAATTTTTTTGGGCGTCACAATATGCCTCTCATTAATATTTTAGGCACCCTACTAATCTGCTTGTGAAATTGTGGGTGCAAGTGAATGTCCGTGTAGTACTGAAAAGCCGGCATCCGGACAGATGTTTACACCCATCATCTGAAGCCCTGGTGATTATTGTGCATGCACCATATAATCGTGAAGTGATATCGCTGGGGATCACCTGCCCTGGCAGCATGTGAAAGACGCAGGCTTAAGTAGTCCATTGTAATGGCTGTATTGCTCACTGAGGCAGTTTGCTGCAGTAGTCCGGGTGAAGTAACTTGTCATAGCTACCCTCCCGTTAAGCAGAGTTCATATCGCATGCGGGAAAAGGCTTGGCTTGCACGTGTAAATTGTAATGTTGATGAATATCAGCTAGGTGTGTATGACTTAAGGCGCCTGACAGGAAAATCAGAAGTTCTTCCTGCACTGGACAGTTTTTTTTTATTTCCTTCGAAGGTCTTTAAAACAAATAAAGCCCTGAATGAATATTGAAACCGTCTGACATTTGTTACATTTTTACTAGCCACTCCAGTGTGAACGTAACACGTTTCCTTGGTTCTGTCCCCTTGCTGGATTTGTATTTGTGTAATGAAATTTCACCTTTGAGTGCCGTGTGGGGTTTTTGGTGCTAAGATGCGTTTTCTGGACACCGGAGAGCAGTCCAGCTTCTCCGCGTAATACACGCGGTGTCTTCGTACCCTCGCCTTTTGGAGGTCACTGTCGTGTTTTTCGATGACCCGAACATCTCGACGAAGCGGGCAGGCTTGCTGAGAAGCGGTTTGGAGGCCGTGTTTACCTTCTCCGCCTGGACTTTCTGCTTTCAGCCTTAGTGGGTCACCCACTAAGAGGAAGGCGGCCGGCTGTGACCCGTGCCAACGATCAACAGCTGCCCGCAAGCTGCACTTTTGTAACCTGCTTGGGCTCCTTCGGGCGCGAGCAAACTGGAGCGAGCACTGCTGGTGTGCGGCAGTGGGTCTCGCTGCTGTTGCGCGCAGTCATGTTATCGCATTATCTGCGCCTGTTGTAGAGGGCGCTGCAGGACGAGCCTGCCAGGGGTATAATGGCACACAACAGAATTTTTGAAATGTATTAAAACTGCAAACACAAATGCAGTTAGGAACAGTTGTAAACCAAATGCAATGTGTCTGACATGGATGTGTCTGAATAACAAAACGCTTAATTGCACAATGTAAAAAATATATAAAATAGAAAAATATTAAATATATCCTAACAAGCTTAATTTTATTGGGAAACCGAAATGTTCCCAAGCCACCAAATTATGACCGACTGTAGCCAGCATTAACCGTGACCGACTGTAGCCAGCATTAACCGTGACCGACTGTAGCCAGCATTAACCGTGACCGACTGTAGCCAGCATTAACCGTGACC